TATTAAAAAATAGTTGTGTTTTAATTAGTGCATACTGCTTTTTATGTTATACAGCTTTTTATGTTTTTTTGACATGGGGAACTTGGAACTGTTAGTGATCTACAACCAAAATTTCACTACCAGTCTGATACTGCCCGCCTTTTTATGTATACAGCTTTATACACGTGAAGAATCTACTATAGCAAAGATACAACTCTACTTTGTAGGGATTTTCATAATGGATAGTGTCGCCCTTAATAAGACAGTGTATAATGGTATTATGTTGTCTACATTTTTTTGTTGTATCCATGCGGAACTGGTGCCAATGTGTATGTCCTAGCTTAGATGTAGATAGAAATTTATTCCAAATCTATTTTTAGCTAAGTTTTCATATTCCATAAACTTTTGACATTGTGTTGGGGTTCAACTAACACTGATAATTTGCTTATGTAGGTACACTGGCAAGAGTGGGAAAAGGTGGGGGCGCAATCATTAACTAGTTTGTCTTCCAGTTAGTTGTACAATTTAAGTATTATCCTTTGCTCTTTGCTTTCTTTTGTGTTGCTTATTTTCATTGCAAGACTGGAGTGGATAATATCCAGTTTCAGACCTTTTGTTGTGGATTGAGATAATTGTTGACTGACTATTGAAAATAAGTCTCTGATCATCTCTGCCACAGTATAAACTAAATTTTGAATAAATATTTTGATCTCCCTACAGTTGAAGGCAAGGCAGGGTCAGGCCTCCCCTATAAAATTTTAAGCCGAGATCATGCTTCTCGAATTCTTACCTTCGTGAGCTATCGTATGTAATATTTCATAATTTGTACAATCCATCAGATGTTCTGATTTTGAAGAATGAGGGTGCTACTCTATGCTTGGCGCTTCTCGGTTTTGTCATGTGATGTCCTAGGGTTTTAGCACAATAGCTCACTGTATCACAAGCTAACATTCACAAGTCAAGTAGTGAGGTTATCTTTATTAAAAAAAAGTAGTGAGGGTTATGTTTTATACTTTGTATTTAGCAATATTCAGAAAGTTATATGAGCTTGTTGGATGAGTACATTAGTGAGTTAAGAGCTAGGGAAAGAATCAGATCAAGACATTGTCATTCAGAGGGGCAGAAAGCAAAGAAGAGTGAGGTAGACATATTAGTATATTACTTAGCTCTAGGTATTATATTCATTAAAGTCGGTGATGGTAGACCTTGGTATTTCAATATGTCTTCCATGAGCCTTGCACGCCTGAGATGAGTGCTACCAGGAGTATTGAACTTGTCAGTGACATTGAGACTTTTTGTTTCTTGAGGAATGGTAGCATAAATTAGAACTGGGTTATGCGTTCATGCATGCAGAATGCTCCAGTCTTCCTCCTTTATTTTAAAGTGTTAAAGTTACCAGTTTGGCAAGTCAGATACTTATCTGCGTCTTCATTAAGAATTATGATCTTACATCAACTCAACCGAACATTTTGTACATCTCCCAGATAGGATACAAAGGGAATAAAAAGTAGTGTCTCTTCCAACTCTGCAACCTTTAGAGCATAATCAAGGGTTAAGTCTTCTGCTGAAAGCCATCTGGTCCTTCTCTTTCTTTTAGTTTCCTAAAATGTAAACAAATTAGTACAAAAGAAGATATTATTAGTAGTTAATCAAAGCTGTCACAGAAGTGAAAGAGAGAAGAGTGGGGTGAAATAAAAACCAATAATGCCAGAATCCTAGTTTCTTCCTGTGGAAGTGGTGGTGTGTTTAACAGAACATTATTTCTTTCTAGAAAAAGATGGTTAGTGAAGTAGTGATCTAGTGGGAGCTCCCTTCAGTCCAATGAGCGAGCAAAGATAGTGAAAGGAGTTGCTCCCACACCATGCACTGGCTAAACTTATATTCATTTATAACTGAATTCCTCTTTGCCGCGCCTTGCAGAAAACTTGATACAAACATAAAGGTTAGCCTAATGCATGAGATGGCAGCTCTAACCACTCCTTTGCCCCCCATATTGGACTGAATGGAGCTCCTCATCATCCCCACAAAGCATATGAAAGAGCTACAAAGAATGTAGTAGTGAGTTTATTTTGATTGTGATGAATGGTCCCTCCCCCTTCATCTTCCTTAAATATTGCCTCTTTGCTTGCTTTGAAGGTGTTAAGGTACAGAATCTTTAGCTTTTCTTTTGGAATTTTCTTTTCGGACTGTCATATTTTATCTTGTCTTCATCACAAAATTTTGTATGGCAGGTGTAGTGTTTGTCTACTCATGACACCTCATATAAAAGATACAAATAAGATTTCAAAAAGATTTGGGTGTAATGGCGTTAGGTTACCCTCCATTGAGCTTTAACTTTGGCCTTAATATGCCATCAAGGGAGAGCTGGATGAGTGAAGTTTCATTACCAACATTGATTTATCTTTCATTGGTATAATTTCAATGGTTAGGGGGTGAAAAGATTTTCTCTTTGGGAAAGGTCAAGAGTCTGATTAGTCCAAATTCCAAACACATTTCTTATGAGCTGTGTCATGTCATGTGACATGAAGATGGCAGTAAGCCAGTAAGGCAAAAGTATGAAATTTTGTATCACATACTACTGTACACCAAGAGACAGAAAATAATAGATTGATCATTGATCACAACTGTTCAGTTAGAAGTTACTAGTTACTAGTTGCTAGTTAGAACCTGTTTGATCAAAGTTGTCCAAGCAAAAATTCTGTTTCATACACAATCAAAGTTGCTAGCTTCAACAGAAGTTTCCTTTAATTAGATCTTTACTATCTATCATTGGGTGACATTCAACATTAGACCTTTACTCTCTATCATTGGGTGACAAAAATCTTTTGGAAGATATTCATCGTACATGAAGTCACAAGCTTTGATAGAAAAAAGTTTTTCTAACAGAGCATTGAAAAGAAAGATCAATGGTGTATGTCTGCATGATCACATCAGATAGAGTATGAGTTCAAGTACTAGCTAGTTTTTGTCTCTTGCATATCTGCAGAAATGCAGGTTTCAGGTTACTCTGTTGGTGTAACTTGGGAAATTAGCTAGCTTTTGGTGAAAAACAGAAGTGACTTTCACTCACTTGGATAAATTACAGCTTTGGTGAGATCACCAAATGAGCTTGTGTTTGTCTCCATTTGTGTGTTTGATTCTGATCGACATTTGCTTTCTCTCTTTATAATCCATTTGGGTGACGTGGAGCACACATGGGCTTTTGACCCAAAATAAAAGTTGCCCAAAATAAAAGCTGGCTTTGATACCATATAGAAATTCTGAGGAAAGGCCTACTTGGTGCGAAAACCCTGACACTAGTTATTATAGATTCAAGTGATATTACAAATGAGTGAGGAGTAGACTTGTTACCACCCACCAACATTTTTTTTTTTGTACA